CTCGGGTATTTCGCGAATTTTTAGGTGCCTGTCTGTTTGAATGAGTTTGTTAACGCGACTCTTGTTGATGTTGTCCTCAGTCTTGGCAGAAAAACAAGGTCCTGCATGAATTTGTAATTGACATCCGTATGCCCGGTTTTGAATTTACTGCACCACTCATATGCCTGTGACTTTGCCATTACTTTCTCCCCGTAAACTGACTTTATTCCAGTGTGTATTTCTATAGGTTTGAGACCTTTTGCAGTCAGAAACTGAATGACAGACCTCACTTCTACCCTTGACCAATTTCCCAAGGGGGTAACCATCTTTGGAGAACTGCTGTGTTCGTTTGGTTTGTGCGATGCTCATGGTGCTCAATTGGGAATTTCCTAAATGATTGTTTTACAAATATGCGATTACAGAATGTGAAAATATTTAGTGGCGTCGGTGGCCTAGTGGTTAGGCTCTCGGACTCGCAACCGTAAGGTCGTGGGTTCGAATCCTGTCAAGGGCCCGACGTTGTGTCCTTGGGAAAGGCACTTTACACGAATTTTCCTCACTTCACCCAGGTGGGAATGGGTACCCGGCTATAGACAGCGAAAGATCTTGTCAGTTTGTTAGTGTTTGAGCGCTTAATCGGCTGCTTGCACTGTATGCTTCCCGGGAAGCTGAGAATGTTTCGGAGTGTTCTATGGTCTGCTGGGGTAATAATATAGTGTAAAGCGCATAGAGCCTGCTGCTGAGCGGGGATATGCGCTATACAAATGCTATCTATTATTATTATTATTATTATTTTTAATAGTTTCCAAATTACAGCCAAATACCGGCTTTCCGTGGTACATTGCTCCATATATAGAAGTGTACCAAACGCAGATAGCTCCATCAACAGGAATATACCAAATACAGATATCTCCACTTGCAGGAATAATATTATACCAAACACAGATTGCCCCCACCTACAAGAATGTTCAAAACACAGGTTGCCCCATCTACAGGAATATACCAAATACAGATTTCTCCACCTGCAGGAATAATGTATCGAACACAGATTGTACCACCTACAAACACAGATTGTTTCACCAATAGGGATGTTCTAAACACAACTGGCTTTATCGATCAAAAGTTTACCACTAGAATAGACTGACATTTTCGGATCGTTTTCAAGGAATTTCTGTTTGTTTGTTTGAGTAAAAAGATAAACATCAATACAATGGTGGTTTTTTACTGCTGAGGAAAAAAACAACACTAAAATACGGAAATAACACATAGAAAGTAAAGACGTAGGACATATTAGTGACACCCTCCAACCACCCGCAAGGAATTTCTGAAGAAGCTCAAACGACTCCTCGCCGAGTTCGTAATGTAGACACGAAGCTCAGCTCTCTGACACAAGAGGTTGGATGGTATTGCTTTCATGAAACCCCCCCCCCCCCACACAAATATGTTTTTGTAAAATGTAGGACGTCTTTTCGCCTCCATCGATACAATTTAGATCAGTTTAGGAGGCCGGCTTGGACCCTGTCTTTCAGGACTAACTCGTACTGAAAAGGATACGACTTTCCAGCACCAACTAAGACGTATTGGTTAGATGGACCAACTGACTAGATGTTTGTCATATGAAACAACTGAGCTTATAATACTTATATTAGTTCTACCCACTGATAAGGGTGGGTGGTAATAATAACAGTTTTTCCGTCAATGTTTGACGATGAACAATGCACCCGTTGAGGAAAACAATTTCTCAGGCGAAACTGAAGTATACGAAGAATGAAAAATTAGGAAGAATTGTGGCTTCTTTTGTGGCCACTGATATATTATATTATGGTAGAGGTTCTTCTTTATCGATGGATTTATGTTGAAGTCCTTCAGGGACATTTTATACAGGTGTCATCGGAGCATTTTTGGGTGCGCCAACTTTACGCTCACCTGAGGATAGCTTTTCTTTAGGGTTCTGAAATCAGACATTCTTACGACATGGCCAGGCCAGCAAACCTGATTCCCTTTGAGCTTAGAAAACAGACTGTCGCATTTACCCTTTTGTGAGCTTCGGTGTCTGGTATTTCGTTCTACAATTTGATGCCGAGAATTCTCTCCACACCTTTCGTGTGGAAATGATTAAACTTCTTGGCATGGCTTTGGTACACCACCCACGTCCCAGCACCGTACAGCAGGGTTATAAGAAACACAGTAATACAAACCTGATGCCATCGCACTCACCTATCACCGAATGAATTTGATGGGTATGGACGACAAATAACTGGAAAGGATAGATAAGAGCAGATATTTGACTTGTTCAAAGGTTTCTTTTCAGTGAGGAAGAGCAACACAAACACCAGACTCATTCTGTCGCCTAGATACAATGTGTCTAATGGCAAGACAAAGGCAAGACCATCAGATTAGTGTCTATATGCAGGAGTTTGTCAGAATGCCATCTATTTTGAAAGGCAAACTGCCCAGAGATACCACCTGAGCCTGACATTTCCAGCTAACTAGGTTTTGAGGGCCTGGGCCAAGAACACTATATTCGGTGGTTGCCGCACACCGTAGCAACTTTTGTGCGGTAAAAAAATTCGTGGCGCAACTTATATTTTCAAACAATCGAACATAGACGGTCCAGCTTTATCACAATGAATTTGTATCAAGTTGTCTTAACAGATCAATATTTTTGTAAACACCTGTTAGCTGTATTCTAGATTATTCTTTGACACATACTAATTATAAAATTCAAGTGGGTGCTTTCTACAGTATTTAAGAGGTTTACAGCTGGGGCAATGTAGCTTTTAAAAGCAATTCGGTAATTTTTTTTTCTAATCGTGCCACTACCTTTATTGAACGCATGTTTTGAGAACGTATAATTAAAAAAATATGTTGTGTTCATTTTAGAATTAACGTCTTGAAACAAGTTTTGACATAATTTAAAAGTGTCATTGGTTAGCCGTGACGTAGGCCAAAAGCGTATTCAAATGTTTGTGAGAAGCGGAAAGTGCTGTGAATAATCCCATTTTCTGTGTGGCGGAGATTTATAGTATTTCATAATAATATATATCTATAATTTTTGAAGAAATAAAAAAAAAAACAAGCCTCAATTGTTGTGGAAAATATGATTAAGTTAAGACAAACCGATACAAACTGCTGTGCAAAGTATGGATGGCATTGATTCACCCGTTAAAGAGATATTTGAGGATGGGATACGCCACGAATTTTGACCGCTCTATAGGCCAGTATGACGGTTCATTGCCATCCGCCCTGATTGCTTGCCATTGACCTGCTGCCTCCTTCCTTGAAGTTGCCACCAGGAAGAATGCTTAGATCTTCATCTGTTGCATATAACATACATCATATTGCATGACCAATAGCACCAGTGGCATCAATGCGGACATCAAAATCAGGGGCGAGAAACTTGAGACCGTCAACAGCTTCAAATACAAATGTACCTCGGATCTATCGTCTCAGATGAAGGCTCAAGACCAGAAATTCTCTCCAGAATCGCGCAAACAACAGATGCGCTGTTAAAACTGAAGCCTATTTGGAGGGACAGAAACATCACGCACGGCTAAAAAATTAGACTAATGCGCTCACTGGTCATCTCAATATTTGTATACGCCTGCAAGTCGTGGACACTAACATCAGAATTAGAGAAAAAGATTCAGACCACAGAGATGAGATGTTACCGCAGACTCCTTGACATCTCGTACAAAGACCACGTTTCAAATGCTGAAGTACGAAAGAGAATCACCAACGCAGTGAGGCAATATGAAGATCTACTGACCACAGTGAAGAGACGAAAACTAAAATGATATGGGCATGTCACAAGATCCACAGGACTTGCCAAAACAATCCTGCAAGGAACCGTACAAGGAAAAAGAAAGAGAGGAAGGCAGAGAAGGAGATGGGAGGACAACATTACAGAGTGGACAGGAAAGACGATGGGTGACAATCTGAGGAGAGCAGAGGACAAAGATAGATGGCGAGAGTTGGTTTTCCAATGCAGTGGTGCCCCAACGGTTGCCCCAACCACGGGATAGAAGAAGAAGATATTGCATACCGCTATCGCGGAGAACAGCGAGGAGAGTCACTGAAGTGGTTAACTGAAATCCTCCAGCATGTGGCCATTAAGGCTCAGGGAGTGTCACCCGCCGTGGCCGCTAGTACCAAAGAGGTATGCATCCCTTGATGACATTCTAGAACATCAGTCTATGCAACAGGCTGTACTTGGATACATATCACTGGTAGCAGGGATTGCCCATGGCCTGACCGTAAGGACGGCTAGTAGTCCATTACTGGACGGATGGAGAGAACAGTTGAACAATCTCAAATTGTTCACAATTGACTGACTACACTACTGTAACTAGTAGGAATAGTATTCTCTTTATAAATATATATATATATATATATATATATATATATATATATATATATATATATATATATATATATAAAGATATGTATGTATATATCTCTCTATCTGTCTATCTAGCCATCCGTCTCTCTGTCCGTCTAACTCGCTCTATCAATCTATCAGTCTATCTATCTATCTATCTATCTATCTATCTATCTATCTATCTATCTATCTATCTCAACACACATTTTTCTTTTCTCTATCTCCCCAGAAGCGATCGTTTGACTTCGTGGAGTCGGAGCCAGTCTGCCCGTTCCAAAGCCGCTGGGTGCCCCTGACGCATGCACGTGACGTACACAACAGGCTTGTGCACGTCATCCAGCCTGGCAACTTGAACGACAGCACTGCCCAGTGGTTCCGCACAGTCACGTGCAAGGAGGAGGACAACCAGTACGAGCCCAGCTGCCCCATGTGCTGTCGCGGGATCGACTCCAGGAGGTGGGGGCCACTTTTTTGTTTTGTTTTAGTGAGAGTTTAACACGGCACTTGCAACACGATAAGGTATTGTAAATGCCGAAGATAAAAGGTATTACTAGAGAGTTACGAACACAAAAAAGAAGTCGGAGACATAAGGTCGATAAATGTTTGTTAGGACAGAAGGAGCAAACCACACCCGAACACCTGCGAACCACCCACAGGGCTATGCATTTTTGTTTTGTTTTAGTAAGAGTTTTATCGGACTTGAAACGCATTCATCATCATCATCGCCTTTCTCACACTGGATCAGGGTATAGGCCACGAACAAACACTTTCCACCTTTCCCTATCCTGGACCAGCCTCTTGGTGTTATTCCATGTCTTCCCACTTTTCTGTCCATCAATTTCTGTGACTCTTGCAACACAATAAGGTCATACAAATGCCGAAAACTAGACGTGTTACAAGAGAGTAACGAAAACAAAAAAGGAGGAGGAGAGATAATGACACAAGATGTGTGATAGGAAAGAAGGAGCGAACCACACTTGAACACCCACCCACACACCATCCACGGGGGCGCTTTGTCTTATTTGAGTTATAGTTCGATTTTTACGATATTTGCAACACAGACAGGAGGTTATATTTGTAATATAAGTGCCGATAATAGTCTTTTGTGTGTGTTTTTGTGTTTTTTAAGTAAGAATTTTACGGTACTTTCAAAATAAATAGATCGTATAAGTGCTGATAGGTTTTGTTTGAGGGAAAGCGTGCAAGTTGGCGGATGGTGAGTACTGTGGTGTGTTTTGCTCATTCTTTCATATCAGACATCTATTGTCCTTATCATTCCCCTCTTCTTTTCTGTACGTTACACTCTAGTATCACCTCTAATCTTCGGCACTATCCGAGTTGCAAGTGCCTTAAAATATTTATTTACCCCCCCCCCCCCACACACACACAAAGCATAAATAAAACCAAAACCAAAAACAACAACCCCAAATTACACTACAGAGAAACGAAAGGGTGCATTTGGTACAGCAATAAGGAGCTTCAATGTCGCACGCAGAATACATTAGTTCGATTTTCGTGTGGGGAGGTGGGTTTTTTTTTATAGAAGCGAAAATGATATCTGTTTGCTAGGATGTTGTATCCTTCTCAGCACAGGTTGGCCCTGACACGCAGTGTCGAATAAGCTGCCTCCTAAATTGTCTAACTTGTGTGGAAAAGGGCGTATAGCGTCTACAGTTAATTGCATGCTATTACGAAAAGAAACAACACTCTCATACCCCACCCACGCCTCCACCCCTGCCCCCTGCCCCCGTGTCCAGCCCCCGTTCCTCGTTCCCTCTGTGGGTTCATGCCCAGATGTTAGGGTTTATGGAAGTACGCCTCTCCCTCTGCCTCCCCCCCCCTCTCTCTCTCTCTCTCTACCCTGGGGGGACGGACTGAGAGAGGGAAGAAGACTTTCTGGTACCTCTCACTGCCCCAACCTCTCTCTCTCTCTCTCTCTCCCTCTCTCTCTCTTTCTCAGTCGATTTCCCCTCTCCCTTCCCCTCCTCTCTCTCCCCCCCTCCCTCTCGCTCTCCTCCTCCTCCTTTCTCTGTCTCTCTCACTCTCCCACCCCCTCACCCTCTGCCCTCACCCTCTCCCCTCTTCTTTTAATGATACTTTTTTAATTTGTTCCATTTTTCATTTTATTCAAATACTTTTTGTTCGTTTTTTTTCAAATAATTTTTTTTCAACCTTTTATTTATTTACCTTTTCCACCCCCCCCCCCCCTTCATATTTATATTGGTTATTCTTTTTTTTCGTCCATGTTCAATATTTTCTGTACAGTCGCCATGCGGCACTTTGATGCCACCAGTACAACATGGGGAGTTCCTTCCCCGTGCAGGTTACTCTGACCCAGCCCTCCTCCCTCCCCCCTCCCACCTCCCCCAAGACACCCTTCTTTCCATCACAATCATTTCATTCTTTTAATGCAGTGGGTGGTTTGCTGGTGCTCTGGTGTGATTTACGCCTCCTATCCTATCAAGCATAAGATTTCTGGAGTTTAATTTTAAAGGACAATATTATCCAGTGTCGTAAAATGTTCAGTGTTCAGAGGAGAAAAAAAAACAAACCATGTTCGTCTTTTAATCGATACCTCAATTTAGTCCAAATCTGGATATTATGGCGTTTTTTAAAATGAGACTTCCTTTTGACAAAATCCCCCCTCCCCCCACCCTGCAAGAAAAATATCGACAACAACC